GAGAAACAAGTACAGGAAATCATAGGACCTGCCATATTCGAGTATACGAAGCGCCATACTCAAAAATTGTGTTCTAAAACAATCAGAAATTGGATAAAAATGTTTCGAGCATATATTTATTGATAAGTGAATTCATGAAGACTAAATCATTGAAAAGTGTTCTTTGTTTCTTTCCGAGCACCGCGAACATTATTTATTGAACAGTCCTCGTATAAACGAATCTTTAGATAAGACTCGGACACTATCAAGAATGTACTGTGTGATAAGTTCTTTAAGGATGACGTTTACTCAGGTTTCAGAAAACAGAAATGAAATTTTATAAAGTATACTATTTTAAATCAAAAATTGTTCTAAATGGATAAAACAAGCAAGTTTTAAATCAAAATCAATTTGAAAATTTAACATTTTATTATTTAAAGAAAACATACAGGAACAAAAGTCAATGTATGGTAATGCAGAGGAAATTCGGACAAAATTTTAATTCTCCATTTTTGAAAAAATTTATTTCTTGCCACATTAATCACAAAGTAAAGTTACATGTATTTTTAAACATCATTTTGCTTATAAATTATTTTAAATAATTGAATGCTGTGAAATAAAGAAATTCTAAAATATATACAAAAACCATTCGAGACAACATATCTCAATAATTTGATCATTGATTGACCCCTTATAATATTAATACCATGAGAATAAGGGCAACAAAAGTAATCTGGGGCTACCAATAGTTTAGAGATCTTATCAGACAGTTTTTTGTAATATTCGATTAAAAATAGGGGAAAATATAAATATGACAAAGGAAATTCGGACTGTAATAATCATCACATTTATGGCCCAAACTCCAATCCTTTCTTTATATGAAGCAACGATATTCCATTGCTATAATATTTCATTATTTAAAGAGTTTAAACGCTTTTAATATTTTGTGTGTATAGAAAAAAATGGTCATAGTGTGAAAAATTGAGGTATTTCCCGAGAAATACTCAGGGGCCACTAGCACGAAAAGTAGGTCATTGACCTAGTTATTTGAAATTGAAATTACACAAGTATAGTTGTACAATGTGCAATAGGCAGTTTTTCGTTCTTATCAGTGGAATTTTTGGTCTTCTGAGTAAATGTATACCTTGAATATGTTTTCATTGGCTTAGGGATATAATTTAGTACCTAACACGAACCTTGCATGGATGTTGTTCATTCGATAGCGTAAAAACAGTTTCATTTTAAGTTGCTGATGATGGGAACGTTGTTGGTCTCAGTCAATAATTTTTCACCCATATTTAGACGCCACCACTTGCCAGTGGAAGGGTGCAAATCTGTACTTGGCACTTACGGTGTTAGATCTTTCTTTCGTACCAGCATCTAAGGTCTCATTCGAGGGACTGTTCTCCTCGTCTCGTCGTGGGATTCGAACCCACAACATAACTAAGGCTCAACTCCAAAGCAAACGCTCTATAAGTATTGTGACATTCGTGCGACGCTGGGAATGTTGCATCATGCAAGTTAAAAAAACTGTTCAAAGCGATAAAATAAATATAATTTCAGCAGAAGGATTGAAAGGAAAAAAATCAATCTCACACTGCTCAATGCGTTATCGGCTACTCGGTTGTTATCGGACACTCGGTGCAAGAAAAGCAATGTTTAGAAAATGTGGGTAATTTTAAATTTCATATTTCAACGATAAATTTGTATTTCAGCAAATAAAGTTTGTGATCTATGACAGATAATTAATTATACTTTCAGCAGCAGAAAGCACAAACCAAATACTCTCTTTCAAAAGATCTACAGCTTTTCAAATGATATTTTACACAAACTTCGGACTATGTCATCACGTTTTTACTTCTGTAGAATTCAAAATTAGTTTATTCTATCAAACAAACTGATCTATTTATTCTATGGACAATCAGATACCTTTAGATCAGCAATCTGAAATTAAAAATCCAAATTAAGGGTTAGTAAACAGTTTTTAAAAATGTCTCGTTAGTTGAAAACATGTTATCGTCAACACGATTGATGTTGCCGGATACTTCGGTTTTTGACGAGTGTACGTTATCGGAAACTCAGGTTAAAAAGTTTCCTTTAGCTTCATAAATAGATTGGAAAATTCCATTATAATCTGCCAAACCTTGAAAATAGCAAACGTAAAAGTTTGTTTTGATATAAATGTATGTAAATAAGATTAATAACAAGAAAGTCTGCTATTGCAAGCAATAGCTTATGTCGCCCCGAACTGGACAAGACTTTCATTTTGTTTCATCACTAAAACAACACCTATTAGCTAAGCATGGAAAACCATCAACTCGTATCAGTCCTTTCAGTACTTTCAGTATTTTGATTTAAAAATCAAAGTAAAAGAATTTTCACTTTTCCCCTGTTTCCATGGAAACTATTGATAATTTCCAATTTTTAAATGCAACACGGACAATTACAGATACTAATTATTTAATCAGTAAAGTTTCATGACGAATGTCCAAGGGACTAGAGAGAACACTCGTGGACAAATTTCTTCGCTTTTTTGCAGGTTTCTATGGCAACTGTAGCCATTTTGAAACTGAATGACCACATGGCACAACTACAACCAGTGATCCTCCTTTGAGGAAAGTTTCAAAAAAGATTGCCCCAGCCATCTCCGAGAAACTGCCTGGACAACAAAAACATGCGTACAATCGCAATATGTCGTCCCCGACTTCGTAATAGAACTACTCATCTGTTCAACCATTTAGAACTACTCATTTTCACCATTTTTCTTGTTTTCCATTCAAGATAACCTCTTGGAGACAGCTTCAGGCAGTTTCAAACGCATTAGCGCTATCTACACATTTGAATTTGAGCACGCTGCGGGATGTGACCGTTCATCAGGGGGTTCTTATTCCTTCTTGGTACCTTAAACAACCTCCGATGTTTTAGAGATCCGTATTAACGATTTTGTAATTTTTTTACAGTCAAAATTTTGAATTTTATGTCATATATTTTGGTCTAACTACCTATTTGGAAATTCATCTTGTTTTGCATGTATATACCAAACTGATAAATGTATTCGTGTTCGAAAGGTTGTGAGTTTAAAACTCAGTGGCGACTGACCTAAGTCGATCAAAATGGGAAGCAACTGTTCCTTCGCCATGCGTTCAGCAACTTGATTGTATGTTGTTTAACGCCCTCCTGAGAATTTTCCTGTCATATGGAGACGCCATCACTTGCCGGCGGAGAGCTTCAAAATTTGTCATATACTCAGCACCTAGGGCCATTGAGCAATGAGGGATCTTTTTTGTGCTAGCACCTACTGCGACGTCCCACTTTGGGATACGAACCCGCGACGTAAGGATCGACTCCTTACTTGGCGACTCTAGAGCAGACACTCTAACCACAGTGCCACACGGGCGACCTCGGTACCTTGAGATGAAATTCAAAACATACCATATTTTCAAACAGATCAGTCAAGATCATGCAGATTTCAGTGAGAAATGCCAAAAAACACTCATTTTTTTAAGTTATATATTCTTAAAGAGACAAATTATAGCCAAAAATTAGAATTTCGCGCCAGTCATGCAGTTAAAATATTTAGATTTCATACGGATTTTTGTCGTTTCTTTGCGTTTTTCCTTAATTTATGACAACCTTTGTTTCCGATAACCAAAACCGAGTTATCCGATAAGAAAGTGCATTATTTAAACAATAAAATGCTTTCTTTGTTTGTTATTACTGGAATGAACGGAAGCACCGTTCATTCCAGTAATAACAAACAAAGAAAGACATTTTATTGTTTATATTTATATCTGTTTAAATTATTATTTTAAGTAGGGTTAAAATATTAATTATTGTGTTAATGATGCAAACGTCTTTGTACGTTTCATTGATGGAACGGCCATTGATCAAGAAATCTGTACAGGTGATATGCCTAATGTAGTTCATGCAGTGATGAACGCAATGGGTTTTCTTAAGAAATAAAGAAGAAAAAATATTCAGTGGATGTAAATTTTCAACCGTATTTCCGATAACATACTGAAAGTTGAACTCGGGCAATTTTTGCCCTTTGATTACATATTCCCAAGATTCCGAGGAAGTCTTCTTGTGGAAAATCATTAACGCAAGGTAAATACAGAGTATAAGGATTTTGAAGAAAAAAAGCCACTTACAGCAATGCCAATCTGAAAAAAAAAACTTGTAAAAAATAACAAATTTGACTTTTAAAGCATTCCAAAGGCTAACAAATGCTATATACTTGTACGTATCGGGGCTTTATTTTGTATCCGTATTCATTTCTGTTTACAAAAAGCACAATGAATATTCTCTGTTTCTATTTTAACAGAGTTTATTTTATAATTTACTATAACCTGTCAAAAATTGTTATCAACTGAGTGGCCGATAACAACAGAGTAGCCGATAACGCGTTGAGCAGTGTGAATCTTTCAGTCATTATTCTCACATTACTTGTACGTAATCGACACCCGGCCCCCTCTCCCCACCGAGGGTGAAATTGTAGATCTGAACAGATAATTTATTTCTAATTTAGAACCCAGAACAAACAAGTATGAAATTATTACGAGAATAAAGAAAAGATAAATACCATTGAACCGATGAATAATATCGTCATAACAATAACCTAGTACTTTAAAAAGGAATACAATAAGTAAAAGTGTATGTCTATTATAACATGGAAATGTTGCATCATACATATATTTTTGCCTAGTCTTCAGTATTGAGTAACCCAAAACTTTTTCACTTTTATCCGACTGAGCTAAATATTATAAGCTGGGAATAATCAATAATCAATATTGGAAATTTATACTACATAGAGATTAGAGAGAGCAATGTTCTTGCATATGAATTTTTCAAAGGAATAAAGGATTTTTCATTTATTCCAATTATCTAATATTGCATGACATTTTGTGTGTCAAGATCACTGAACCTCCATGAAGCGAAAGGGTTGAACTTCTATTTAACGAGTCACCGCTTACAGTTATATCGTAATCACACAAACGCTTTACTAGACGGCAAATAAAAAGCTTGCATATTTGTTATCGTTTGACATCGATTGAAGGGAAAAATAAAAAATGGCGCTAAAAAGGGAAAATATTTTCAAAGATGTTATATTTTTCTTTCGCCCTTGTGCCGCTAGAAGTAAAGTGCAGCCAATAATAGAGGTATTTGCATATATATTTTCCAGTGTAGGATTCTTTTGTAGCCATCTCTTGATCTGTACATGCAAAAAATGAAAAAAGTCGAGATACAAAATCATATAGGCCTATACTGATTTTTCAATGTAATGTTTTCACTTCTAATAGGTCGTTTCAGATGTCTTTGACCAAGCCTCTTCATTTTTTCTTTCAGGAAAATGGTGGGAAAGTTACAGCCAGAATGACCTTAAATGCAATCAAGTAAGTATTCTACTCTAATAAAGCTTCAATACAGTTTGTGAGCAGGTTTTGGGACTATTCCAAATTTGAATAAGTACATCTTTACAAACATCTGATCTCAAAAACTAATCCTTCATTGGAACTCGCAGGTTTTCTCTACATTTCATTTTGATACAGATTAATGGAGAGAAAACTGGTAGGTTCCAACGATGTAATTAATCCCCCTCCACCCCACCACCCCACATAGTACAAATGTGTACACACTCCATTTCTAAACAGCTATCGTCCAGATTTTAAGTAGACCCCAGCGAAGATTGGAGCTGTGCCGATTGGGATCATTAGATCCCAGGACCACTACGGAAGTCGGATTGGTCTAATCGGAGGAGTTGAAAACAAGCTGGTACACACACTTTTATCTCTTTTATTCTGTTTTTAATCACTATTTTTTATCACTAGCGCTGCTCACCGAAATGTAAAGGTCTAAGAAGACCGTATTTTCGTAACCTGTAGATGTTGTAGATGTAGATTTTTTTTTTTGATGGGAAGGTGGTGTATAGTGGAATTATTGTTTATCATCATTGTATATGAAAACTGTTCATGAATATTTTTAAAACTATTATATTTTATCTGAAGCTCAACTGAGCCCTGGGATTAGGATGGGATAATGTTATGGAATCAGAGTTTTATTTTTGGAATATTTAGGAAAAAATCAAAATCTTTCTAGATTTGTATGTTTGCAAGTGTGTTCAAATTATAGGCAGGAGAGAGAGCAAACTAACATTATTTTAAATTATTTTAAAGATAGAACCTAAACATGTTTCAATGATGTTGTCTAATCAGCATTACTTGTAGCATGTTGTAGGATTCTTTAAATTAGTACTCTGTAACTAACTACCTGTGAACCTAAGCAGGATTTTATGCCTATTTCATAAGCTGTTGGAATTTATTCTCAAGATAAGTGTATTTTCTGTTGACAGACTTGCCAATGATGATGATTATTTAGTGTCAGATGATTATTTCTCAGTGAGATACATTGAGGATTGTGTGAAAGCTAACGAGATGCTTGACAAAGAAAAGTACAGGTATTAAAGAATAGTCCTAATAAAATTTTTTAGGTTCTATTATGTAATTTTATAAAATATGAAATTATGTAAAAATTTATATTGAAGAATTTTCTTGGCATGCATGGAGTTTAAGTATTGCTTGATTAAAAATACACTACGCTTTATATTGTATGTTAAAAGAATACATTGAAATAAGCAATGCACAGAAAAATATTGAGCTCATTTGACATTTGTATGAAATAAATGTTGATATATGACTGTATGTGAATAAACTGTTAATTTCAGGTTGAAATAAATGTTGATTTCAGGTTGGAGACCAGGAGGGTGGTTATTCGGAATGCCAGCGATGATCAGGTCAGCGACATCTCATTTGATGAAGAGCAACCACAAAGATTGCGAGCAAGTAGTAAATACTTACAAGGGTACGGCCAACAAAAAGGAATTCTTTGAAAATTGTCAGAGAAAGTCTAACAATTTTATTTTATTGCTCACATCCAAAAATAAGTATGTCTTCAGTTTCTGAATTGATTATACAGGAGAAAGATGTACACCTATGCTGATGACATGGCCATACTTAACTACATCATAAGTAATGATTATCACGATAAAGTGGCTGGAAACACGGTGTGGAAGGAAATGGAAGATTTACAGGTAAAAAAATTCACTGCAGAGGCAGATCTAAGAGGGTCTACCACATGATTGATTAAGCAGTGTTTACAACCTGCCATATTTACACATTGGTGGGGGATGTGATCTCGTATTCACTGGACAGAAGGACTCATTAACATTTTTATAAACTCTTGAACTTACTGAATCATAGATCTTTGTCCAAAAATGCATCTTAGGTAGAAAGTGTAGATGGGCATTTGTAAAACTTCAACACAACCATTTGAGAAATATGATGTATTCTTTGCTTAAATAAATACACTCTTGGTGATGTACGTCAAACATTAGAAATGGAAAAAACATTTAAAACTTAGTATCAAGAAATTAGTTCTTGTTCAAGTATTAGTTCATCAATATCTTTGAATAAAAGTTTATGAAAAGCAATATTACATGTGAGATACATGAATTGTTTCATATTATGTATTGTAATGCAAGGTCTGTGTATTGTCTCACCCCTTAGTATCAAGAATCACATGATTTTCTTTCTTTCACTCCATATCCTGTTTATCATAAAAATTGAACAATATTTTACAGCTTGGCTGTTCACTATCACAAAAAATAACTTACAAAAATGTTGCATATTTCGAAATTTGAGTATTTTGTTTTCTTTCATCAGTTTATTACAATTTTGAATATAGAAGCTACATATGATTTTTCTACCCATTTTCTTACAGATTACGAAACACTCTGCCTCCTCCATGAATACGCGTTACAGGAAAATAATCAAGCATAATCTGAATCTATATACCATCCCAGTCACCCACAAGAAGAAACTGAATCTGGACTATCTGGGTAATGTATTTATGTCACATTGGATTATTAGGGCCCTTGATCAAGATGCAGTTGCCCTAAAGAAATCACTATGCCTGTCTGTTTGTCTTATCTGCCTATTTGTCTTTCAACACCTTAATATGGTGCAATAACTAGATCACATTTACCACATAGATTAATAAAGACATTTTTTGGTAGAATTTTACAATGACATTTATTGATACTTTACATGAAATTTAAAGTGATACTTTACTTTTATATTCACAGTGACATCTGATGATAGATTACAATGATATTTTACAGCAACATCTGATGATAGATTACAATGATATTTTACAGCAACATCTGATGATAGATTACAATGATATTTT